TACTCAATACTACCATTAGTGATGAATACACAGCCGAAACCAATAGGAAGCAAAAACATTAAACTTAAAGAAGCAGTGAAACCGTAAATTCTAACTAAATTAGCAATAATGTTCCTCTAGTAACTTAAAATTAAGAAAAATTCCCCAGAAACAGAAAAGCGTCAAATTTTCACTTTTTGTTGTGCAAATACACAAAAATTCAAACCTGCAGGAAAAACAGTAAAAAATATAGCAAAATTAGATTGTGTTGTAGCTTAAATCTGGCGCGTAAAATCCCCAGATAACTGCAAAATGACCTCAGCTTTTTCGATTTAGCGCTTGTTGTGCAAATGCAGAAAACTCCAAAATTCTCGTGTTTATTGAAAAAAAAACGATGAAGGTATACGGCCTAACAATTTCGAATCATATTGCAGTTCACAACTGACAAATAAAATCCTGAATAGTAAAGAAAGTCGTCAACATTTGAATCCCTGTCGGTTGTTGTGCAAATACACAAACTTCACAAATTTCAAAATTTTGAGCTGAGTTTTTAAATAATACATAAAAATTACGAACATTTTAACATTTAAAATTTTTTTTGTTACAACGTGTTCCATAAAAAAAATTTGGCAACATGCATGACATAAATTCATTTTTCTATGCATCCATTCCAATTTGATACGTGTTGTAGAGAACATGGTTTGCTAAATTTCATTTTGCCCAACAACATATCATTTACTTTTTCTTAGCCTATGGCAAATATGCTCATAAACTTTTCCGTTTCAAGACAGTTATGTAAAACTCCCTAGAAACGAACCTCAAAAACAAGAATTATGTGGTTTTCGCAAGATCAAAAGCATAAAGCATTGTTCCCAGTCGAATATTGCATTTAGATCATAAATTGCTACCTTTTCCAGCCACCCAGTATTTTCTCAGAATTATGGATATGGACATCTAAAATTAGAAAGGTTTATTTCTACCCCGAGACTCTATAGTAACAACTGCATATGCGAATGTCACTAATGCCTATGAGTCGCGGTTATGTTACAATTCACCACGACCCAAAGGCATCGATTCGTCACTCAGCTCCGCTATATTAATGAGGTCTTTGAGTAACGGGAATATTGTAAATGATGAGCAACTGCAAAATATTTTTCCAGCATATTGATCTCAGAGAAGGATAGAAAAATACATTTTGATGGAAATTCTCCGAAAAACAACAACTTCCTTTTCTAATTTTTGCTTCAGCACTATCTATAAGTATTTTGCAGTTTATGGTAAAGTGTTTGGAAAAAATTCGTACTAAGAATACCCATACCCAGCAACCTCAGCATACTCAATGAGGAGGAAACAAAGGAATAGGTGATGATATACTAAAAACTCTCTTGCACAAAGGTAAAGTTTAGAAAAACCCATTATTCTTACAAGGAACTTGGAATTCCTAATTGGGAAAGTACAAAAAGTAAGGAAAAGGTCCTACAAGGTGCGGAGGAAGGAAGTGTAAGCGGAAAATATCAAAAAGAGAAAAAAAAACCTTGCTAGAACTACCTCTATGAAGGAACTTAACATTATTTTGTAAAAAAAACTGAGTTATACTTTCAGGAGATAATTTCAGAATAAAGAAAATTGAGGAAAACTGCAGAATTACACCAAACGATCCCGAAAGAGGAAAATTCAAGTTTTGTAAAAAATGACCATCCCTTTTCAAAAAAGCAAGAAGAAAAAAGTTTTTGAAAAATATGGTATTCTTTGACAAAATGCTGAGATCATAATGAAATGAAAGTTGATGAAATAGGTAAAAAAATGTGAATTCGGAAGTCTGAAAGTATGTGATGCCAAAAATAAATTCAAAAGTACTGATCAAAAATAAATAATAAATAATAAATCCAAGCACTAATTGAAAAACTCTCATTCTAAGGAAAATTCAAAAATCAAAAAATCAATTTTTTCGGATTTCATCCCGACTCCGAAAACTCACTTTTACAGCTACCCGTTCGTTATGGTTTTGAATGTCGAAGGCCTCGTAAATCTCTCCGAAGCCACCGCCGCCTATTTTTTGTTTCTGAAAAAAAAACACGTGATGTTCAGAAGATGACTAGGTCTCTGGGCAACATGTCACTACTCTTACTTATCAAAAAAACTTCCAGCCAGGATCCAACAAAAAACTCAAA